CACTAGAATTCATTCTCAAATAATCTCCTACCAGTAAGGACGTGGCATGTGTCCTTTAACTGGTGGTTTCGCTGTTAAATAGCACCACACCTATGGTTTTTCCACTAAATGAAAGTACGGGTAAATGGTTATGACCAAGACCCTTTGAACAGAGTGGTTTTGCTGCTAAATGATACCATTAAATTACAGTCATGATTAGAGCTTGTATATTCCCCAATGGCTTCAAATCCTTGAAATATTAATAAAAAGGATATAATCGATTGGACACAAAACCCTCTATTAGCTATGGTGGATTCAAATTTGTCCTTTTAGATAAATATTCACCTTAGCTTTTAGTGATTTATATAATAGATTAGATACTAAGGAGAGAGAAAGATATATGCATAAATTAGTCAAACAAAGAGATAGGAGTAGTAATGATTTAGTTCAAGTGAAGTGTATTAAGGATGAAGATTAAAATTACTTTTCTTAGAAGATGATATTCAATAAAGGAGGAAGAGATATTTTGCTAAACTTTTTAATGAAGATTGTGAAAATAAGATTGACTCTAGTGACCTTAGTACCATAAATGAAAATAAAGATTTATATTTTTATCGGTGTATTAGTAAAACCAAAGTTAGAGATGCTTTAAAGAAAATGAAGGGTGGAAAAGTTGTTGGACTTAATGATATTCCAATAGTGGTGTGGAAATGCTTAGGAGATGAAGGAATTTCTTGGCTTACTAAACTTTTTAATAATGTTTTGAAGACTATAAAGATGTCAGATGAGTAGAGAATGAGTGTATTAATTCCTATTTTTAATAATATAGGTGATACACAAAATTGTGTGAATTACAAATGAATTAAGTTAATGTGTCATACTTTAAAACTATGGGAACGAGTTATGGAGCATAGATTGCGGCATGATACTAATGTTTCTCAAAATCAATTTGGTTTCATGCCGGACAGGTCGAATATGGAAGCCATATATTTATTAAGAGGTTTGAATGAGAAATATAGAGAAAAAAAGGAGGATCTACATATGATATTTATTGATTTAGAAAATGCATATGATAAAGTTCCAAGAGAAGGGCTATGGAGAGTTCTTGAAAAGAAAGGAGTTAATAACGTTTATATTTAAATCATTAAAGATATGTATGCATGAGCTATTAGTTGTGTTCAAACACAAGGTGATTTGACCAAGTATTTCCCTATTTCAGTTGGGTTGCATCAAGGATCAGCCTTAAGCCCATATCTTTTTTCTTTAGTCATGGATGTTCTCACTAGACGTTTGCAAGAGGATGTACCTTGGTGTATGCTTTTGTTGATGATATTCTTCTTATTGATAAGACTAGAAAGGAAGTTGAAGGTAAACTTGAATTATGAAGGCCGACTTTAGAGTCTAAAGATTTTCGCTTGAGTAGATCTAAAATAGAATATATGTAGCCTAATTTTAGTAGAAATAGGCCTAGTGAGGAGATTATGACTTTGGCAACCGAGTCATTAATAAGAGTAATTTAGATATCTTGGATCTATTATTCAGAGTGATGGTGAAATAGATGGGTATATTATTAGCAAAATTCAAGTTGGATGGATGAAGTGGAGGAATGCATCGGGCATGTTGTGTGATAAAAAATTACCCCTCGAACTTAAGGGGAAATTCTATAAGATGGTGGTGAGGCCTACAATGCTTTATGGTGTCGAATGTTGGATATTAAAAGAGAAGCATAATACTAAGTTAAGTGTGGAAAAGATGAGGATGCTCAGGTGGATGAGTGGCTTTACCTTTAGAGATATGATACAAAATGAGATTATACGTGAAAAGGTTGGAGTAGCTCCAGTAGAAGATAAGATTAGACGGAGTCGCCTTAGATGGTTTGGTCACATAAAATGACGGCCTTTCGATGACCCTGTTAGGAAAGTAGAGGTATTAGATTTGACTTATGTTAAGAAAGGTAGAGGCAAACCTAAAAAGACTTGGTTAGAAAATTTTAGGAATGACCTTTCTTTATTAGATTTGAATGGGAATTTGACTTTTAATATGACACAATGGAGAAAAAGTATTCATGTAGTCGACCCCACATAGTGGGATAAAGGCTTGATTTTGTAGATTGTAGATAAATATTCACCCCAAGTTTATAAGATACCCTAAGACGAAGCAACCTATGGCTGCCGACAAGGATCCTTCTATCAGGTTGGGTCGATTACCTCCTCTAAGTAGACTAGGTGCCATGATGACCCAGGATGACGTAACCATAGGATATTGATCGTGTTCATCATCATTCCCCCACCACCTGCTTTAAGTACACGATGGTGAATTTTTAATTTTAAATATTAAATTTTCAAATAACAAACCCATTCTTCTAATATATGTCAGATATCACGTAACTATATGTATCTGTTTGATGACTAACCTTAATTAAAAGTTCTCTCTCATTATTGGCATGAGTAGTTAACTATAAGGACACCTATAGGAAACCAAAACTCATATCATAAAGTCCTCGTAAAATGAGGGACAAATCTCTGGGTAGTGTCTTATTCATAATCCAATCCTCCTAAAAATTTTCCGTGTAACTTACTTGTTAAAGCCCTCCTCAATGACCCGAAAAAGAAGAAAGGGTTCGCGAAGAGGCCATGGTGCAAATTTTCGGAGCCCACAGTGTCAATAGAGAATAATAATGATTGTAATTTTGTGTCTTATACATGAGTATTATGAGACACTTCTTAAGAAAATTGTTTACATGACCTCATCATACATTAAAAACAAATCAATTGACGAGTTAATAATAGGTCATCTTAGGAGATTTCATAACATATTTCCTATGTCACAAGCAATTTTACGGATCTTATTCACAAATTGAAAAGTGTTTATGGTCTACATGGTTCATCTCGAATAACAGCAAAAATAGTATTAGCATTAACTTTATATATTCTATCTCATAATGTATTTATTGGAATTACATATGAGCACTTCCAACATTCGACTGAAACAATCATCCAATATTTTTCTGTAAGATTAGAGGCTTTAGTAAATTTTTCATCGGTAGTTTTGAAGTCCAAAGATCCTTACTTTAGAAATACGCCAAGAGAGAGAATGTATGATAGTCAATATATGTCATATTATAAGGTATATTTAATTATCATGATATTATAGGATTTTTAATAATTATGCTAATATAACAAATATATCTTAGTTAAGAATGTATTGGAGCGACTAATGGGACATATGTGGATAAACGAGTTCCAAATAGGAAAAAGTAAAGTACATATGACGATTTGGCTCACCAACATAAAATATTATAGCAGTGTGTGACTTCAATATGTGTTTTACTTTTATCATGTCAAGAAGTGAAGGAATACACATGAAAGCTGAATATTCAAATTTGTAACTCATAATAGATGCAATAACTTTCTTATACCACTTCCTGATAAACTGTTTATCATAATAAATTTACTAATACTAATTTTTTTAATAAATTATATATACTTTAAAACACATAAATATTATCTTTTGGATGCTGATTATTTGATGTAACATAGATTTTTTAAGCCATTTCTAGATACAAAGTATCATGCTCTTAATTTTTAAAGAGGAAGTTAATCGATACAGGAGAGGCAAAAAACTTTCAATAGACAATACTTTTCAATAAGATGTGTAATTGAGATATCATTTGGTGTATGTAAAATGAAGTCGACTATACTACGAGATATGTCTTCATATTCATTCAAAAAATAAATTAAAATAGTGGCGGCAACAATTCCATTGCATAATTACATGTTATCCCACTCAAGTTGGTCTACAATTTAATATATGTGAAGCAAATCAAACATATATCCCACTCAAGTTGATCTACAATTTAATATATGTGAAGCAAATCAAACATATATGCCTCTAAAGACTTAAGGGTATAGAATTAGTCAATTATTATTAGAGAGAAGAAAATGTAATAAATCACGCGGTACAAGTTGAAGGTGCCGAAGAGATGATACAATTACGAGAGCAAATCATATATGTTTTATTTAGTGAGATGAATTAGAAATGTCTTTTCAACATAAAATGCATTAAAAATATTGTTCTTATTCTTTATTTTTTAAAATTGTAGTATACTTTGGTTCATGATAGGCATTTAGATTGATCAGTTTTTATATTATTAAACTGCATGCATGCAATTGTTGATTACATTGTTAGATGTATAAGCATCATCATTGTGCCTAATTACATAAATAAGCTACCTCAAGTCTAATACTTCAGCTTAAATTTTTGAGCAAATAAACGGCCCAACAAATAACAACTTTTTTCAAAACATTTTGTAACAACATTTTAGCCATGAGCCTCAACTGAGAGCTGCTCCCAAATCTGATACTTTTAATATGATACAATCAGAATTCAAATAGAAGTTTTTTAGCAGCTCATAAATGTAGACTTTTTGCTGAAGTTATTGCCAATAAAAACAGGGGCAATAAAATGTCCAATGATCTGCAAGCTACGGAAGTCCAAGATTAGGTTACATTGCCAAAACTACAGCATGATGAAGATGGTACAAAGACATCTCCAACCGAACTCCACACTCCTATTTGGCATCCGCAAACTTCTTCATTTGAACGGCAAAAAAGACGTTATTCTCTCATTCGTAAACAGTGCAACACCATGGTGTCTGTGCATTTTTGAAAAGAGAGCGGAGAGGATAAAAACCAGCTCACGTGATTGAGAAAGAATATACACAAAATATTATTGTGTTGAAAAATAGAATTCAACTGGAGTTGAATAACTTTATTTTGGAGTTGAAAATGAGTTTTTCAATAAGAGATGATCTAAGCAAAAGAAATGCAAAAGATGATGCGCTATAACAATGATTTGTTTTTCAGTTAAGCAGAGCACCAATGGCATGAGAAATAGCAATAACACTTCAAACAAGCTTAATGAATACAAATTCGATATCAAGAAGAAGATAGATCGCAGACAAGCCAAGACTTTCAAAAGAAAGCTCATTTAGTAAAGAATAGGCAGAGAGATACCTTAGATGAAGTACTCAAAACGTGCAACTGAGATTGGATTAACTTTAACGAAATTCAATTCAAATGTAATAGTCAAGAATTAAGCAAGTAGAGCTAATTAAACTTAAAACAATTTAAAGTGCCAAAATTGCAACACAATTTCATGTCTCTTTTCAAACACCAAAGACTGGTAAACACAGGAAACACTAAGACTTAATTCATCCTTCTAATCAGCTCATTGATATAGTTCTCCCTATTGCCAGCATCTCCACCCTCCACATAATGATTCCTCTTCTTCTTAAGCCCTCCAAGTGGTGCTTTCAGCTTGAACGGCCACAAGAAGTTATTGGCCTCTTTGAAGTGAGGACCCACAGTGAAAATTTCATGGATGAGGTCCTCAATGCAGATTATCTTATGCTTCCCAAGACCCTGCCAAGATAAAAATATTAAAATTTCATAAAATTTAACAAAAAAACTTGTGAGTTTTAAATGAATGTTACAAGAACAAAACCTGCTCAATGATGGAATTGTTGGTTAATGGAATTCTTTGCTTCTGCAATTTCCCATAGCCTCTCTTGTAAATCAATTCTCTCACACTTTTCAGATTAGGATAGCTGAAGCATTAAGAATGACAAAATAATCAGCCATATTAGGCTAATCAAATGCTACTAACAATGAAAAAATAAAGAAACAGAAAAAAAGAATTTACCCATATGTAACATAAGGCTCCACCCTCCGAAGCATGTTTATGGTGGCCTTGTTCACCTTCAGGAACACACCATTGAAGATCTACAAAAATTTGTTGGCATGAATAAATTACTAACTTGACAGTACTTGAGTACAAGCTCTAAAAGAAAGGCTGACAAATCCATAAAGTTCCCGATAATAATTATCTTTTCGTGAAAAAGAACACATATCATTTCTTCTGCATTGCTCTAACTTATTTATACTTGCAAGGACACTTGAATTATTAAAAAGAAATTAATTGAAAAGAAATTATTTTCTTTCTGACGGGAAGAATGAATTGGAAAATAAATAATAAAACATGGAAGAAAAAATTTTATCTCAAACCAATGACTTATTTTTCTCCTACAAGAATAATAACAACAACAACATCAAGTCTTTATCCCACTACGAGAGGTCATGTACATGAATCTTTTTTCTCCACTGTGTTCTGCTTAAAGTCAAATTTTCATTTAAATCTAATAAAAAAAGATCATTTTTAATATTTTCTAACTAAATCTTTTTAGGTCTACCTCTAACTTTCTTAACATAAGTCAAATCTAATACATCTACTCTCTTAACATAACTTAATTCTATCCTAGATTGAGAAAAAACAGGAATGAAAATGGATTATTAGCAAAGCTTTCATGATGCCTACACCGCTCTTGACTTGTGAAACAATAGTTACATCCAACCCTCACGTTTTCTTAGCGTCAACCCTTTTGAGAGACCTCTGCCCAAGAGTCACAGCAAAGAGCATAAGGTGAAAAACTGAGGAAGACTCGGCGATCCTAGACTATTTTTGGAAATTTGACGCGTATATTCTCTGGATTTCTCACGATTCCATCATTTGTTAGGTATGAAATGTTCAAATCTAACAAGAAACTGTCGATCTTATTCTTCTTTTAGCTCAGGGCTGCCAATTAACGTGCCCAAACAATAAGAAACTGATCGATCATATGCGGGTATATGCAATTCACAGTATTTTCTCACTTCCTACACACGTAGATCAAGAATTAAGATGAGTATTCTCTGAGGAATATTTTCTAAGGAAAGCATTACAACACTAAATTAGGTTTCGTTTGGGACAGCTTTTTTATAGCTTTTTAGTAAAAAAATTTTTGAAAGCAGTAAAAAACTGTGGGCAAAAGCTGCCCCAAACGAAACCAAAGTTTCGAAGGAAAAGGGATGGAAAGTACTCGGATAAGCCATGAATCCACGGGGAGAGATAGGAAAGAGATAAAGCAGGACACTTTTATTCTAATTCAACAATCAACTAACACAATACAAATCATGAATGCCTATTTATATAAATAGAATTAAGAGAAAATTAAATAAAATTTAATAATACCTTGAATATAATCCTAAATAATTCAAATGTAAACCTTAAATTAATCAAAAGAAACATTAACAACAACTTCCATTAAAAATATTAACTTAAATGAAATAACTAGGAGAAATCCTAAAATAATCTAAACTTAAATTCTCTTGGGCTGCATTCACTCCATTAAGCCCGATAAAACTCTTCTCCTGAAGGGTTGCAAATAAAGCCCCATGCTTGGATGTCTGATGTCCATGGTGGAGGCGGAAAAATTACTCCATAAACACCCATTGAATTTTCGAAGTATGCATATTGAGCTCAGGTGTGAGAAGGTAACGAAACTAACAAAGTTATAGCAGTATAAAACACTAAACAGCGTGAACTGAGATATGAATTTAGCCTTCTTTATTTCTCATTTGGCAATATAAGCCACTCATTACACTAGTAACTTCAATCAGTAGTGTAAGATTTGGTTGCACTGTAGTAGACAAAAATTCTAGCAGGGTTTAAGACCATCATAACATCTATAAAGATAATTGTATGCTTCTTCAATTGCATCATCTTAAAACCTTCAAGTAATATTTTTCCAATAAACCTAACCAAAACTAAATTATACACAAAGGATGTTCAAAGCTATGTAACAAAATAGTACCATCAACTCCATAAAGGGAGTTGAGAACTATGCAACTCCACACGCAAGTTTTTTATGTTTTCCATGCATCTTGAACAATTCAATTTTCTTGATTGCGTTGATATCGCAATAATAGCAATAATATGCAAAAAAAATTAAGATTTAATGTTGATGCTCTGATATCTTTACTTCTAAGAAATATAAAAATAAAGAGAATGATTTATAGAATAAGAGAGTAGTCATTTTCGAAGATCGTAGTTGGAATGGAATTGAGCAGGGGGTCAGGATTGACATTATAGCAGTATAAAACACTAAATAGAATGAACTGAGATATAAATTTAGCCCTTTTTATTCTCCTTAGGCAAGATAAGCCATTCATTACACTAGTAGCTTCAATCAAAAGTGCAAGAATTGTTTGGATTGTGATAGATATAAATTCTAGTAAGGGTTTAGGACCATCATAAGATCTATAAATGTATGCTTCTTCAATTGCACCATCTAAAATTTTCAAGTAATACTTTTCCAATAAACCTAAACAAATCTAAATTATAAGCAAAGGGTGTTGAGAGCTATGTAACCAAATAGTACTGTCAACTCCATAAATGTAAAGGGAGTTGAGAGCTATGAAAATCCACGCACGAGTCTTTTGTATATGTCAATAGGCAAAAGAATTTATGACTAAGAGTCGATGCTTTCAACTCTTTACCTCTAAGAAATATAAAAATCAAGAGAATAATTTATGGAATAAGAGAGTTGTCATTAATTGGGAAAAGTTCGAAGATTGTAGTTGGATTGGAATTGAGAAAGGGTTAGGATCAACTTGTATGATGATGAGATATTGCAAGCAATATAAGCAAAAGGTAACTGATTGCACACAAAATGGCAAAGTTGGCAAAAGGTGTGCAGGGACAAAAAATTGCTCCAAGAATGAATAGGAATAGGATAAGTTGGGTGTAACATGGCAGCATGCTGGAGAACATTAATGCAAAAACCCAAGCAGTAGCAAATGTGAGCAAGGGCTAGTTCAATGCAAAGAGGGTACTAATACGATGCAAACAACCGGATGACTGTGTCTGATATCAATTTGATAAACAAGCATGCAGGAATCAAAATTAAACTTTAACCATCAAATGATGCAAAGCCGAACTAAAAGAAGAAAACTTTAAATCCATCCAATGAGATGAACGGAGAGGCTAATAAGTCATTAGCTTCACTTCATCAATCATCATCATTAACCTTCTCCAACCTATTTTTGGCTAGCTTTATGAATCCCTATTTCTCATGTATTCCTATTAAGTGTTGTGTTAAATATGTTCTTAACAAATCCTTTTGAACAACTAATATTCATGCAACCTAAAGTTTCTACCTATTTATCTTCCCAATCCTTTGACATTAAATTTATCAACTCATCAAACGGACACATTTTATACACTTCTTTGTAAATATTCAAGAAATATAAATCTATTTGTAATCATATTATCTTCAATAGATGTCACACCAATCTATCGTCTAATAAAATCATTCCTTAATCCATCTTGTTTCATAGCACAAGACACATCCATCTTAACTTCACAATTCTTGTCACTCAACTTTTATTCAAATGATATTTTTATAGCTCAATATTATGATCTATAAAACCTCACTAACCTAATTTTGATAATTAAAAATTACTTTTAAGTCTCAATGATACCCTCCTACCATATAGGACTCCTAAAACAATCCATTTTTTATCATATATATTATACTTTTGTATCATTTTACTTCTAACAATATTGAACAACAATTATAAACATCAAACCACTAAAATTATACATTGTATGCATAATACTCGATTTTGTTCCATTAATTCTACAATTTTTTATGTTCTTGATATTTCCACCACTAGTCAAAAATTTCACTTACTACTGTAATAAACCATTCCAAAGTTTGAGAGTTTTTCATAAGTAAGGATTGGTACAAATAATAAAAAAAACTCCCAGCTCATAATCATTCAAAGTTTTCCTCAATTCAAAAATGGCTTCATCAAATTCAAGTTGACTAAGTCATAAATAATGTATTTCAAGCTCAATTTAAGCGTGAATTGAGTTGGAATAAAAAAAAAACTAGTTACATTACATCATTAAATTTCATGTTAATCAAAATCTAAGGACTTCGAAACAAATTCACCGGACCCAAAACATATTTCAATTTCAAGTCCAACAGGAAAAAAAATTTTCTTGTCTGACTGAAATTAATATCAGCCTTGATTATAATAATCGTCATAACTACTGATGTAGGTAGGGGGGCAATTGATGTGCCATGGCTTGTGGGCTGATTTTTGAATTTTTACCCAAGTTCCTTGGCTTGGTTGTTTCGGGTTTTGCTGCCTAGTTGGGGAGCTGCTGTGTTCTGCTACCTTTTCAACTCATTATGCGAGCTGGCCGGTTTCACCCCCCCCCCTTGTTTTGGCCTCTTCGGTTCCTCTGCCTGCCTGATTCCTTCCCCCTGGCGCGCTTGTCCGTTCGGTTGATGTGTCCTGCTGGCCCTTTGGGTGCTGCTCCCTTTGGCTGCCTTTTTCCCTTCTGCCTCCCCTTTGCTAATTGGATACTATGGGTGGCTATTTGGGTTGTTTGGCTCCCTCTCCTCTCCTATGTATAGTGGTGGCTGATTTGAGGCTTTGGAGAGTATGTTATGATTTTTGGAAAGAAAACCTAAGGGTTTCTTGGATAGCTTGCGAGCTATGTATCCCCTTCTCTTCTTCTATCTATGATTTCACCTCGGGTTTCTTATCTACTTCTTTTCGCCGCAAGTGTCCACTACATTTGTATCTTTCTTCTCAATCAAAGAAAAGCTTTTTTAGGTGTTTTTATGTTCTAAGATATTGTTTGTCTTGTGAGTTGTAAGGTGTCGTTTTGTTTCATTTCTTGTGCTAGTTTCTTGTGTTTTTTTTTAAAGAAGACGAAAGTTTGTATGCAATCTAGCTACCCTCTAGATTTTTTTATTGCATCAACAACGCTAAAAAAATATAAAGAAAATGTTAACCCATAATATAAGCCAGCAATAATAAGAAATACTAAGGCCACTCCAAAACTGCTTTTTATACTAGTCAATGATTTGTTATATATATTTTAAAAA